AAAATAATTTAAATAATATAATATTTCATATTACAATTAATTCTTTTTATTTTGAAATTATTTATGAATTTATTTTTTTAAATCATTTAATATAAAGTTGAATAATGATAGATATATAAAAATTTTAAATATAAAATAATTTAAATAATATAATATTTCATTTAACAATTAATTCTTTTTATTTTTTAAAATTTATGATATTGCATGCATCAACTAATTTAATAATGTAACATTAGTTCTAATATATTTGTCCTCCCTATCATTACTTAGTTTATTATGGTCGTGCTTTTCTTTTCTTTCTTTTGGTCTTTTTAGATTTTGCAACTTTGAACAAAAAATTATTAGTAAGATTATAGAAAAAATGAATTAAAATAATTTTAATACTATTAAACAAGTTTACACTTTTTATTTTCAATCTTAAAACTTGTTTCAAACAAATTTTTAATTTTTAATTTTAATTTTCAATAATTACTAAATTTATAAAAACCAGATACTTTAAATTTGTCATTCATGATACTTCCACTATTAATTTCTCCTAAATACTTTTATTCTCATCCTTGTTTCACTTAAGTTTTAAGGCACAATTATATCCAACAATTTCATATATGCAGGAACTCTTTAATGGATGTCATAGAACCAGTCGTGGATATTGTGAAGGATGTTGTACCTACAGTTAAGAAATATTTCAAGTATCAGATATGTCACAATGATTATGTCAATGAATTCAAAGAAATGCAAACACAGCTGAAGCACCGACGGCAAGACGTTGAAGAAGAACTGCATGCTCAACTTAGGCAGCCTGGGAAGATTGCAAAGAAGGAAGTTGAAGCTTGGCTAGAGAAAGCATACCAAGAAACTGCAGAAAAAGTGGTTGAAGATCTAATCTGCAAAGGGGGCTGTTTCACATATATTTCGTCCTCAAGAAAGCTCGATAAAAGGATTCAGTCATTGACTGAAGGAATATTTAAGCAAGGAGAAAAGTACACTAGTGCTGATGAGAGTTTGGTCGTAGATACTCCCTCAATTGATTATTGGGCAACTGTATTTGAAGAAAAGCAGGAGATGCTGAAGCTTCGACAGAAGGACATTGAAGCAGAATTGGAGACTCAACTTATGCAGCCTGGAAAGATGGCAAGCTATGTAGTTCAAGACTGGATGAAGAAAGCAAGCCAACAGATTGACATAAAGGTTGAAGATCTGTTCAGCCAAGGGGAATGGTCCTCTCCATCTGACCGCTGGAAAAAAATTGAAGAATTGAGGCAAATACTTGAGCAAGGAAAAGAATTCACTAATGCTGGTGTGATTTTGGTCAGAGATGATCACTCAATCGAACGATTTCCACTTCTCGTTGAAAAATGTAGTGGCAGGGATGCTATACAAGAAAAAATTCTGGAATGCTTGAAGGCAAACAAGATTACAAGAATTGCAGTTTCGGGAATGGGTGGTCTGGGCAAGACAACAATTATGAAGAATGTCCACAACCAACTGTTGAATGAATCCAAATTTGAGAATGTTATTTGGGTAACAGTGTCAAAAGACTTTAACATTACTGTCCAGCAAAAAAAGAAGTTTGATATTCTCCAGTTTCAGAAAAAGATTGCAAGTAGCTTGAAACTAGAACGAGAGCCAGATCATGAGAATGAAACCAAGCTTGCTGCATTGATTTCACAAAGGTTGGGGCAGGGCAGCTTCTTGCTAATTCTGGATGATGTGTGGGAGCCCTTTCCTCTAGAAGATGTTGGAATTTCTAATCCAGTTGGAAATAATGGTTGCAAGTTAGTGCTCACGACACGGTCAAAAGATGTTGCCCGTGCAATGGATTGTAATGTGATCCATGTGAAACCTCTTCCACCTGAAGAAGCATTAGAATTATTTTTGGAGAAAATTGGAAGTGAAGTGTTTTCAGATGGCAAAATTAAAAGAGATATAGAGCCATTTTTGAAGCAAATTTTGCAGAAATGTGATGGAGTACCCCTTGCTATTGTGACAGTGGCAAAATCAATGAAAGGGAAATTACTTCCTCGTCATTGGGAGTTGACACAATCTGAATTTAGTAAATTTGAAAGCATTATTGATTGTTTGAAATTCAGTTATGAATGCCTAGAACAACAATGCCAGGAGTGTTTTTTATGTTGTGCATTGTATCCTGAAGATTATGAAATAAAAAAGGAGGAGTTAATTGAGTATTGGATTGAGGAAGGGCTTCTATATGAAGAAGGGAAAACTAGGGAGGCAATGAATTGCAAGGGTCATGATATACTTGATAAGCTAATTGACAACTGCTTGTTGCAATCGGTTAAAAATAGAGGCAAACGAGAATGTGTGAGTATGCATGATCTTCTCCGAGAAATGGCACTGGAAATCAGTCCTCAATTCTTGGTGAAAGCCGGCATAGCCTTGGAGAAGTTACCAGAGGAGCATGAATGGAGAGAAAATCTTTCGAAGGTTTCTTTAATGAGGAATCACATATCAGAAATTCCTTCAAGCATGCCATCTCCAAAGTGTTCTGTGCTCACAACCTTGCTGTTGTCCAATAATGAGATTTCAACAATTCCAGAAGCTTTTTTTCAGCATATGCTTGGGCTCAAGATTGTTGATCTTTCCAACAATTGTCAACTAAGAAGGCTGCCGAGTTCTATCTCCAAATTGGAGAAGCTTACTACATTATTGCTATGTGGATGTGAGGCCTTAACAGAGGTACCAGCATTATCCAACCTTGTAGGGTTAAAAAAGTTGGACCTTTTAGGGACATCAATTGAAGAACTACCGCAAGGCCTCAACATGTTAACAAATCTAAAATATCTTGGTCTTGGTGGAAGATTATCTGAAACTCTTGATGAACCGCTACAAAATCTCTCCAAACTTCAGCATTTACTAGTAACTGCCGATCTCCATGCCGAAACAGAATTTAAATGGGAGACGATTGGAATTTGGGGGAAGCTTCAAAACCTTGAGAAGCTGAATCTTTGTCTTTTGGATAACTTGAATATGGTGTTTGGGGAAGTAGGAGCAATTGCTGAGTCAGCACCGCTACCAGCTGGCACATTTTCCTCTCTTCAATATATTAGGGTTTGGCATTGTAATAAAATAAAGAAGTTATGCTCGGTAAGGTGGCTGGGATATCTCCAGAAACTACAGATTGTTGAGGTTTGTTATTGTGAGCAATTGGAGGAGATAATAGGGTCTGAATCTAAAGATGGAGAAAAAGTCACTCTACCCAACTTAGAAAGGTTGGAATTGCTCGGATTGCCCCAATTGAAGACCATCTATAGCGGTTCTTTGATTTGTGATTCCATCAAGAAGATTGTAATTTCTAATTGTGAAAATATAGAGAGTGTTTTTTGGTCCGGGTTCAACCCACTTCCAAATCTTGAATATCTGAAACTTACCAATTTAAAGGATCTGAAATCTGTGTTTGATGAAAAGGGTCTTGGTTTATCGCCACTTGTACCTCCCACAAGCTTTTTCTCTCTTAAAGAAATTAGGGTTGATAGGTGTGATCAATTAAAGAAGGTATTCTCATCTGGATGGCTGCTCCGCTACTTCCAATCTCTAGAGACTATTAAGGTTTCAAGTTGTTTCCAAATGGAGGAGCTGATATCGTCATCGGCACATGGAGAAGAAAAAGTCACTCTACCCAAGGTAGAAAGGTTGGAATTGACAAGATTGCCCTTATTGAAGACCATCTACAGTAGCTCTAGTGTTGATTTGTGATTCCATCCAGCGTCTGACGATTTCCGAGTGTGAGAAGCTAAAGAGGATTCCTTTGAATTTTCCCTTGCTTGATAATGCCCAATCATCTCATCCTCCTACCCTCAAAGAAATTGAGGTATTCCCAAAAGAATGGTGGGAATCATTGGAATGGGACCATCTCAATGCAAAAGACATCTTTTTCCCCTTCTGTAAATTTCGGCCGCCATGGTTGTATGGCAAACTGCAAATGTAAGCCTTTTAATCTTCAATTTTCCATTTTTGATTCAATTCAGTATGAGTTTTCCATTCTTAATAAATCTCTCTTTCTCTCATCTATTCTTTTCTCCCCCATTGGCAGCAATTGGGATTCGGCTCGGTAACCACAAGAAAGTTGGAGGAAATCACATATGCACTAGTTGCTCTTGCTATTGGGTTTTCAATGTAATATAATCTTTGTTTTTCTTTTGCTGTGTGTGTTGTGTGTTTAAATATGTCCAATTTTAAGTGGAAAATTGGAAATGTTTGTTTCTTTTTTATCTGTGTATTGTTGTCTTTGAAACTATGTGGGAAAAAGACTTGAAACTGTATTTGCTTTTCTTATAATATGTATTTCAATTTATTGCATTTGCATATCTCCTCAAATTTCATTCAGCAACATTATCATCATCAACAAAAACCGAAACTTACTTTCATCAACAATAGCGACACACTCTGTTACTTTATATTCTTAGAATTGCCCAAGGACTAGCATTCAAGTCAGAGGACACTTCTCTTCTCTTTTTGCCTTTTTTTGTCTCTTTTTTTTTTTGGTGCATCATCAACATTAAACTGTATTTGCCATTTTTTTCATCAACATTAGGTTCACTTATTTAAAAAATTTAGTAGTGTAACTATGAATCATGCATTACCTATTGCGTGCTACCTTCTGTTTACCTTAGGGGATTTAGCAAAAATCATGTTGCGCCAGTTGCATGTGTATTGAGACAACTACAGGGGGAAATTATAGAGCTTTCTTTGTCCTTTTTAAGTTTTCCTTAATTGTTACAGTTTTGCCATTCATTTCTAGCCCTTATTGCCCTACCTCAAATTTGATTCCTTTTTTCCGTAGTCTCTATATTTGCTCTTAAAGATGTCTGGTTTGGCGATGAAAAGATTGACTAGATTTTAGTAGTTTCAGTACCCTTGCTAGGTATTTGCTAACTGTGCTTAAAGACTGTTGTGCTGATGTAGTATTTTATTTGTGGTATTGATGCAATATAAGATGTAAGAGCTTGAGAACTTTTTTTTTTTATCAGCAAGAGCTTGAGAACTTTCTTTGTTCTTTTTCTTAAATGTTTTGGTTTTGCCATTCATTTTCAGTCCTTGCTTCCCTGCCTCTTATTTGACACCTAGTTTCAAATTCTATGGTTTCCATGTGTGCCCTTAAAGATGTCTGCTCTGGCCATGGACAAATTGACTCGATTTCTGAAGGTGACTTCTTAGTTGGTTACGGTTGAGTACTCTCTTGCTGTTTTTATTATATCAATGCTTTTCTTCTTC